GTGTTTTTTAAGGAAAGTCTCTCCTTTCTCTCCACATTACAAATTCTGAGTTTAATTTCTACAAAGAGATGAGAGAAAGTGATGTGTATATTATTCCACATTGGGAGCAGTGATGTGTTCATCATACATTTGTTTGACGTATTTTGAGATTGTTTTTATGTCTTTTATAGACTAAGTATAATCGAGAACATATGAAGAGCACACAAAACACTTTCCCTTCAAAAGCTGCCATGAACTTGAAAATAAAATGTAACTGGGTAAGTTTAGAACACAGCAACTTCTAGCTTTAGAAATAAACACAGCAGTTTCTTATATATGTGTACATGAATATATCCTCGTCTCATAATTTATAAATGCTGTTAACTGTCTAGTTTATTATTCTTGTAGCACTGAAGCTTCTCAATTAACAGTATAATGTCAGAAGAGAGAGAATAGGCACATTTCTATCATGGCTGGTCTACTCATCCAATCTGAATAAATATTGCTTATTTGTTTCTGCACTTCATCCAGTCAGATGACAGGATGTGCATAATTAATGGTTTACATCTGTGATAATCAAGTCCATATATAATATTCCAATCATCTTTGCTTTATCATGTTTTTCATTTTAGCCACCTAAAAGATCTTTCCAAGATGCTTTTAGAAGCTTTAAATTCAGTACAAGAATTATTTCAACTGCCTCCCACATTCTGCATCACATTTGATTAGACTTTTGAGATAATGAAGAGGTAAACAAACAATATTTGTTTATTCTTATTGTTAGAATAATTCAAATTGTGAACAATACTTCAGAGATAATGTCAAAAATGTACCTATATGCAAGTTTAAACCATAAAAGGGATAAGATAGAAAATAGCTGGTAAAACTCCGTCAAATAAATATCTACAAACCAGTTATAGCACATTATATTTCTTTACATTTGTATAACCTGCTTATTCTTTATATCCTAATTGTTCTTCTGACTAGATCTGGGAGTTCAATCATTGTACACCACTTACAGTAAACAATTATATAACTACATTTCATATTTTTTCAGATTTACTTTTGCATGTTTACACATTATTTTATTCCTGAAGCCTGAATTTGAGTTTGCCCAATATTTTCAGCAGTCTGCTACCTGCGGCTAGTGGGAATTGATACTTCATCCCTCACCTTTTCCAAATGTGTAATTCTCTATAAATTTAGCCCATCTGAGCTAGATTATAGACACTAATTTGGTTATACAATTTAGAATGCTTGCAACTCTCTTCTCTGGCTTCTATCAAACAGAGTGATATTGTGTGACAGTATTTAATTACTTAAATCAAGTGCAGATGGTCTGTGGGTTTCAAGGGTGGCTATGGCCCCACAAATCTGGCGGATCCAGAAGTTCAAATTATCAGTTCCACCAATATTCTTAGAGGAGCTACTACAACATAGGGTTCAGCACATGTCTGCCTGTGTAAGTCAGCATGCATGAACCTAACTCCTTTATCATGAACAATAAGTTTGAAAATGGCTCATATGTGACTAGTTTCTGAGGTGAATGTATGTACCAATGTACCTATGTTGTCTGAAGAAATCAAAATGATTTGCAGTGATTGTTGTCTAGATTATATGGTTCAACAAGGATAGGGTTTTGAAAATTAAGGCACGCTATACATAAATGGGGAAAAGGAAGAGCAAATAGATGAATGGTAATAGAAAGGTTGTGGGCAGTTTATGATTTCTTGAGAGGAAGGATTGGCTGCTGAAAGAAGTGATAAAGTGGCTGTGAAGAAGAACATAGTTCTGTCCACTATGTTACATGGGAATAAGTTGGGTAGTTCATGTGCAACATGAAACTGAGTTGAATGAATATAGTAGAAATGGAGCACTTCAGAAGTTATAAGTGCTAAAATGAACACATAGAGGATCACGAATGAAGAGGTACTGAATTAATGTGAATTGAAAACAAAATTGAGTGGCCAATAGAAAAAAGAGCACAGCAAAACTTCAGTTTAATGTTAATGCTGGAAGAATGTTCTGCTAAAGCCAAATCAGAGTTTTCTCTATAACAAAGCTTCTGCATGTTGGTTCCCTCACTACTCTCCTCCATTTAGTAGCTTCTAGTACAACATATTTCATTGGCCCATCCCATCCCGAAATCTCCCCAATGCCTTTCCTCGGTCTGCTATCTCCACTATCTCAGAGATAGAACCCTGTCCAGAATTTTTCTTTTTTCTAAGTCTGATGTTTACTAACCAAAATCTTTAAATCAATGATATGTTGATTTGGATATGCAAATAGAATGAACAGTGATCAAATTGCAAAGCAAACGTATGAAGAAAGACTGAATGAGGAGGCGGAGGAAGTTGTGATTGGAGGGAGATGATGAGATCCTCAAAAATAAAACCAAGAACTTTAAAGAGTAAAATATAATGTATGAAGTTGTGTATGAACCTGGCACAGGTGAGAATAGTTTTCCAGGACTGAAAGGAAATGAAGAAAATGTAAGTTTGGTTATATGCTCCCCATTGGTTTTTGTTTTTTTTACCTCATGCCTTCACTTTATTTTGTCTACTGTTTCTAATTCCTTTTCAATGCTTCGTATAATACTGTTTACTCCTGATGGAAATAATATGGTGAATACGTCTGTAAAAAGTTATTCTTTCCTTGGAATGATACAGGAAATACAATATAAAACTAAATTATGTTAACTCCATTGCACTTGAAACAAGTGCTTTATATTGGGCAACACTGACAATTGAGTCTGTGAAACCTGAAGCAATCTAAGAGATTCTGTGTCCAGAAAACAGCCAGAAGTTCTTGGGAATGGTAAACCATTTTACGTATTATGGTGCTGACATACAAGGAGGATGAGTAGGAACAAACAGCTTCTATGGCCTTGCAGTTAGAAATACTGGAAAAAATATACTCCCTTATAAGAATACTGAAAATGCTTGTGGAGAACATTATGTATCTTTCAACCTGATATGAAAATCTAACTGGAAGCATACATGCTATACAGTAATGTTTGCAAAACACAGACAGAAACAAAAAGAGATTTAGTACAGGATATAAGTTGACCCTTGGAAAATGTAGAGGAAGATTGGTTTGCATGCCAGAAGTTCTACAATTGGAAGTTCTGCAAGACAAATCTAATCCCCAAATCCCATTCACAACAAAAAATTTATAGTGAGAAAGAATCCCTCAAACTGAACTCTTTTCCAGGTGACCCTATATGTTCATGTAGTTTTCTTAGCAACAATGTGAAAATTATATTCATCCATACGATTTTTTAGTTTGACTTAGATTGTTGGTTTTTCTGGTTGTCTTCCATCTAAGTACTAAGTCTAACTATGCTTATCTTTTCAAGATCATCCTAAATGAGATAGTCTTTTCCCATAGCTGAGTTATACACATTACTGTTTCCTATTGTGATGAGTGACAGAACTCCCTTCCCAGTATTCTAAAAATCTGTTGCCTGGGAACAGATTCTTTGAGATGGGAGTAAACAGGAGGTTATTGTGCTTTCAATGAATGAATGAAACTCTATTTGAAGAACTTGAAGTAATCAAATAATTAAACATTCACACAATTGGGTTATAGGAATTATTGCCTAACATATGTAAAAGGCACTATTTGGAACAGAATGCCATAGAGTGATGAATCTTCAATAACTGATCAGCAAATACATTTATAAACTCTCATCAGGAAAATATTCTTGAGAAAAATTATTCAACTGTCTCACTATTCTTACAAGTGATACAGGTACAGTAAGTTTTCCTATTATCCGAGAGCTGCTGTTTTTTAAATTTAGAAATGAATTCCCAATTACAGCCTTGCAAACAACTGAAAAATATGCTATTATATTTTAATTTTTATGTTAGGATACTTTCTCTGCAAGCCAATCTTATTCAGATAGAAGTATTATTGGTTCTGTTGAATAAGGTAGCTTTAAAATGATTGGTATTGTAACCGAAAAACACCAAAAGCTTTAAAATGAAATGTGAACAACTCACTCCTACTGGTGCATGCTGACCTTCCTCATTTATCAGCCTCCAGAAGACTCAAATCCAGGAAGTATCCACTGGTACTTACACAACATCTGCCCAATAACTTTAACATTGATTCCAAATGGGTTGCTGAATGTCCAGACATAAGAAGATATATAAATGACCCCACAGAAAAGGTGGTAGGCTTTGAGCTACCACATCAATAATGGACAATCCTGAATAGGATTCACACCTCGCACCGCATCTGCCTGGATTCAGTGTATAAATGGGTCACAGTATCCACCCCTTAGTGTGACTTCAGGGTCCCATGTCAAACTGTAGATCACATCATGACTGGCTGTAAGCTGAGGCATATACTGGTCTAGTATTTGATTTTTTTTTAACGTAAACAATGCTGTGTTTCAATGCTTACATGGCCTAAACAGTCGTACTTAAACATAGTTCTTTTTACTAATCTAGAGGAAATGTTAATATGTATTGCTATGATATGCCATGGTCTAAATAAATAATGAAATGAGAAATGTTCGTCTTTCCCAATAAAAAACTATTCTTAAACTTTGACTTTATTCCCAAGTACTTTAGATTATTCTGGTGTAGGTTTGTTATCCGGAGGATATGAAGTCGTGGCTAAACAACTGTGCCACGAATAACATGTTTCCTAAAAGTCCATCAGTGAACTCATTTCTACATTTGCAAGACAGATTTTTATAAAGCACGACTTTATCTTTTATAAGACAATGGGTTCCTAAGTTACAATCTTAAATGATCAAGGTGTCACAGGTGCTGATGTACTATTATAGAGTAAAAATGCTGATGGAAAGAATATAAAAACCCAAGCAATTTTAAGTGATGTGAGTTGAAATTCATCCATAAGTATGTTTGTATGACAGCCAGTTATTATAAATATCCCCCAACTGTTGCTCTTTTAAAAATGTTTTCTTTTTTTAAATTTATTCTTTAGTCAAATTACCATTTTCCATTGCCCCTCCCCATCACTTGGGTGATTGAAATATGATACAGGAATGCAATGCTAATTTTTATTGACAGGTGACGTTGCTCAATGATGCTCATGTTCTTTGAAATTGTCATGGTGTTTTTGATGGTAAGAAATTGCTTTGTTTCATTTGAGAAGTCAGCTTTCCGAAACAAGAGTGGAAGAAACAATGAAAAACACCTTTAATTGTATCTTCTACTTCTCCTCTGTCCACGAGATCTGAGACCTATTAGTAGGAAGAAATTGTCATCAGTCGTTTAAAGTAACCAGTAATCTTATCCTAAGAATATTAATTCAGACATAATGTTCACAATATCTTGGTAAAGTGAGCATAGGCCTACATTCGACAAGTTACAGAAAAGTGTTAATTTTTTTCACCTCCTCTCTTTCTGCCATGCTGGGGGAATTTTCTCCTTCTTCCTGACCCACCACGATTTCGCTTTTGTTGCTTTCTATGATGGCTCCGATAGAGGATTTTGCTTCTGATGGGTCTGAATCTTGCCATATTTGTTTCTATATCTGAGCTGTTGGGAGCTGGACCTGCTCTTGATTGTCCTTTCAGATGATTATACTCCAAGTGGCTACTTTATCCTTTTTGAGAGCTAGAAAGCAAGTATAACAAAGGATGATGATGCTTCAGAGCAACTCAATTATGATGAAATCTAGTGACTACTGCTTTTTATGGAGATACTTTCCATAAAAGGAAAATTAAGGTAACAACATAGAAACATTGCACAGCCTTAGAAACATGCATAGACAACTGTCCCCTCCCCCACAAGTTATGTAAATTTTTCAAGCTCAATATTTTTTCCCATATTCTTTGCCACCAGGAAAATCATCTAGGGCAGTGATGACAAACATCGGGTGCCAAAAGCACGCGCACGTGACAGCACACACACATATGCCAATACCCATAATGCAATGCCCTCCCACAGGCCCCCCCCCCCCCCCCGTCCCCCCGCCCCCCCCTTTGGGGCCCGCCGGCCCCCCCTGGGGCATCCCAGAATCAAAAATGGGCCATGGGTGACACACTCCCCCCACATCCTGTTTTTGGTCCCAGGAAAATCAGCTGGTGAGGCATGTGGGCATGCGTGGTGGAGCTGACCTGGGCGTCAGCCCATGTGCCTGCAGAGATGGCTCTGAGAGGTGGCATGCGTGCCATAGGTTCGCCATCATGGATCTAGGGAATTATTTTTCCATGAGTCATTTATGATATTAACATAAGGAAAAACAAGAGATTGTATGTTTTTTATCTTTCTCTTATCTGGTATATTATACTGTATATGTACTTTAGCAAGTAATGCTGTCAAAAAGTTTTGTCCTGGTCCCTTGAGGCTATTAGGGTTTGGAAGGAGAAAAACAGATATGATATTAACCCTGACAGAACCAAATAATTATAGTTGGTGGCTCTTCCAGTGTTGGGGTTTTTCCTTCTTTAGTTCTAAATGATTGGGGGTGGGGGAGGCATATTTCTGCCCTTGCAGCCCTTGCCTGATAAGGAAATGGGAGTGCAGCCAGAAATGTCTTTGTACAGCTGTGCCAATTGCACCTTCCTTGGGCACTCATGCCTTGCTTACTGCTATACGTAGGGGTAGGTTGATGTGGGTTTGCAAGGGTTCAGGAGAACCTCTAGCTAAGATTCTGTGCAGTTCACATGCATTTTTAGGCATATGGAAAGTTGGATTCAGAAAGCAACTTCTGCAACTAGCACACTATCCATTCATAGAAGAGATATACTGTAGATACCATAACAGTATCATTCTTTTGAATGATCTTCAGAGCCAGTTCCATCATCCGTATAGCCAGGGGTGGGCTTCAAAAATTTTAGCAAGAGGTTATCTGCCCAGTTGCTGGGTGGGCATGGCCATGGTGGGTGTGGCCTAATCAGTCTTCTGCACCACCAGGGTGGAGGTTGGCCTCCCTGGGCTCCCGAGGCTTTCCTCGAGCTTCCAGGAGAGTGAAAATGGCCTTTCCAGACTCCGGAGGCCCTCTGGAGGCTGGAAACAGGTTCATTTCCGGCCTTCCCGAACTTCTGGTAGGCCTGTTTTTTGCCCTCCCTGAGCCTCCATTACTACCGGTTCTGTGGGCGTGGCATGGTGTGGCTTGGTGGGTGTGGTTTGGTGGGCATGGCAGGGGAAAGATACTGCAAAATCTCCATTCCCACCCCACTCTGAGGCCAGCCAGAGGAGGTATTTGCCAGTTCTCCAAACTACTCAAAATTTCCACTATCAGTTGTCCAGAACCTGTCAGAACCTGCTGAATTTCACCCCTGCTATCAAGAACTGTGAATGAACATTGAATGCATCTTGTTGGCTGTATTTATGAATACATAAAGATAGGCATCCAAAAATTGCACTATGTTGGATATGAGAAGAAGAAATGAGGCCGGCCTCAGAAAACTTAGTGCCAAACACTTAAGGAAGATCTTAAGATCATTAATGTCCCTTGGGATGATGCCAAAGATTCTGCAAATGATCAAAACTGGTGGAAAACAATTGCTGCCTTACGTGCTCCACACAGGACCAAATGTTGATGATGACTGGTGTCTCCTGGTGGTTCTCTGTTGTTAAAAGTGACAGGAAATCTCCTCAGCTTCCTTCTCCATATGGTTATAACTGTTGCATTGATGCTGAACCATGGAAATGAAAATTGCTTTCTTCATATCCTGAACTGAGAATCTTCAGCCAAATTGACTTGAATCAAAAGCAGAGGTGGTATTCAGCAGGTTCTGACCAGTTCTGGAGAACCAGTAGTGGAAATTTTGAGGAGTTCAGAGAACCAGTAACTACCACCTCTGGCTGGCCCCGCCCCCATCTATTACCTGCCTCCCGAGTCCCAGCTGATCGGAGGGAAATGGGGATTTTGCAGTAACCTTCTCCTGGAGTGGGGAGGGAATGGAGGTTTTACAGTATCCTTCCCCTGCCACCAAGCCACGCCCACCAAGCCACGCCCACAGAACCGGTAGTAAAAAATGTTGAATCCCACCACTGAATCAAAAGTATATTATTATACTAGGGGTGGTGAGTGGTGGTAAGAGGAAAGTGTCAAATTTTATTTCAGTTTTGAAAAGGATAGTCTTATGGATTAAACAGAAGAACTAAACTGGAAGAAAATCACATGTGCATCTTACTTGTCCCAAATGAAAATTTACCAGTTCTTTTTAACATAAGATCAAGTCTGAGGCTTAACTATTTCTTGTTCCCTGCTGGCCTCTTCATGCTAAGACTAGTCCATCTACAACCTTGCCCTCTTTCTTCAGTGCTCCCTCACTGGTCCCAGTCTCCCTCACTTCCATTTTGTTGAAGCTTTCTCCATCTCTCCTTTAATCTCTTTTTTCATAGATTTAACATACTGTAGATTGGAATATTTAAAATGAAGAAGATTTCCAGCTGTCCATTATATTTACCTTCTAAGAATACTCGATATGGTCCAAGCACTGAATTGTATTAAAATTTATTTATTTATTTATTTATTTATTTATTTATTTATTTATTTATTTATTTATTATTTATTTATTTATGTGCTAGAGACTGATTCAATACTTCATTTTAAAATGCTGGTGGTCATTTGAACAGTTTAAATATTATAAATCAGATACTATAGATCAGATTTAAATCTTTAAAACAGTTTAAATATTATAAATCAGAGCTATCAGTAACTCTAATGGTATTCATATTCCCTATCACTGTTCTAAGATGACCCTGCATCTGGAGTTGATTTATTTTTAGATTGTTTTTTTTTTTTTTTAAATGAAGTCAATTTCCTAGAATCTGCCTAGACCAAAAAATATAGGGTGCTCCTGCCTGAAGGACTTTTATTACAAGAAGAAATGGATAAAATGATTGTAGTTACGGACTCTTCAAATTTATGTTAACTGTTAAGTTTTTAAAACACCAGGCATTAAGACTAATGCAACCAAACTAATGGCCAATTTTACTTATTTCTTGCTACTGGACCTTTGAGAGGGTGGGGAAAGGTGCTGGATTAAAGACATTCTGAACTTTAATTGACACAGAAACACATCCAATGAATGCTAAAAAGGATATTTTGGTATTGTATTTGTCCTGATGGCATGTTAAACGACCCTTTGCTAAGATCCTAAAATATTCTTTAAAAATGAGCATAAATGGTACAAAATTGCCCTTGCCCTTGCAATTGCCCTGTATGATTGAGAATGCATCATCTACCTACTGGAATAGTTATCAATCCCATGGCGTATATAAGTTGAAAATGCATTTATTTTCATTGCTAGGTTTTGGCAGAAAATTCTGAGTGTTATTGCTGTTATAATGGTAGAATCATATGGTTACTGGTCATGTATAAGGACTGCAATATAATAGAAATATTAAGAATAAAAACATGTTTTTCGTTTGCTGCTGGCTGCATGACAAGCTGTGGCCCAGATGTTGGAAAAATCTTCAAGTTTGTTTAAGACTCTCTGGTATGCTAAGATACAGAATGTGGTCCTTGCAGAGAAAATTACAATTTGAGACTATTATAGGCTCAGTTACAACAGAAATTTCAGAGCAAGTGTGGTCTCAGCTGAAAGCAATAATTCTGTGACTACAATAAATTATTGTAGGCTGTACAATGACTTCTCTAATTTCAACAATTTTGGATTTTTATTCATTCTTACTTTTTTTCCATTTCTATTATATTGCAAACATACTCTTTTACTCTGCATTCCATTTCCATGTCTTAAGTGTTTAGCCTGAATTATTGTACATAGTATGATACTGATTGCATTTGTTGTAAAATAAAAATTAGTTAAAACAAAGCAATGGATTCCAAAAACAAAGATAGCAGTAAAACCCAACATGCAATTTTCATGAAATTAATGTCCTTGATCTTTGTCAATTGTATTCAGCAATTTCTGGAAAGGCTTAATTTTTGAAACCAGTCTCCTTCAATAGTTCTAAAATGTTGCAAAGATCAGGAAAAAAAACAGAACACATTCTTGCAGTAGTTTTAAGGTTAACAAAATGAGTTTGATATGTTTTCTTCTTGCTACAGAAGGTTAATCCTTCTGAAAAGTTTTCCCATTTCTTGGGACCTGGTCTGCCTAATTCAGGTCAACTCTCATGTCTAGGTTCCCCATCTAGGTTACATCCATGAAATGCTGGGAGAAGTGGTACAAATGGATTGAAAAAGAATTAGATAAACTAGGATTGGATTTAGTTAGAATGTATAGAGTATAAGTAAATTATAGTAATATGTCATGTAAAAGTCACAGTTTTATGTACAAGAATTCTTTCTTTTTGTATTTTAATTATTGAAAATTAAAAATATTAAAAAAATAATATTTAAATCTATCTGCATATTGTACTGAATTAGTCAGTGGGAAAGCCACATGATAAAATCTTGATACCATGTGAGAAAAATAGGGGTCTGATTCTGTTAACAACTTGCATTTCTAAAGTATTCACTGATCAATGCTGTATATATATAATTTATAATTCAAAAAGTTTATTTCAGTAAAATTGTATTCTTACACACTCAAGTTATTTTTGCTGGTTTTAAAAATCATTGATCAAACAGTTTAGAGCATTGTGTTAGAAATTGCTTCCAAATATTGGCATTTTTTTCTATTTTACTTTTTAAAATTTCCTTTCATTTTTTTTTTTATACATGCCGTAATGAATGACTAAGACACAAAAATAAAATGTCAATGTTTATTGACAGGTGGTATTGTTCAAATTGTTTCAGCCTCTTTTGTTTCTAGGGGAAGTCATCCTGGGTGTTCTCTTCAGAAGGTTTTCATTTTTCATTTTTTGGCAGATTCTCAAAAGAGGCCAGCAGTGTCAGGAGTACAAGATGGAGGAATCATGAAGATGGAACTTAATCTTTCTTGCCTCTCCCTCTTCTCCTTCTGCGACCATGCCTGCGACCTAATCAGTGTAGAAAAGAAATTTGGTCAGATCTCGTCCCTGAATCGTGAGTTACATGAAATAAGCGTTCAAAACATTTTAAAGTTTCTCTCAAAAATCGTTTTCCTTTTCCTACCTTTCCTTCTGCCATGGCGCCTTCTCCTCCTCCTCCTTCCACCTTTACCTCCACGTCGCCTCCTCCGACGGCGGCGACTGAGGCTCCGGCTCCGGCTGCGTCTGAATCTTGCCATTTGAGATGGTGCTTTTGTCTTTCAAGCTCTTTGCAGCTGGAGCTCCACCTGTTCTTGATGGGCCTTTCAGAGCTTAAGGCTGGAGGCTTGCAACTCTGCCCTTTTTATAACCAAATGGGAAGCCCAAAAATGGCTAGTGATGCTCTGCTTAGCTGTGATGAAATACAATGGGTGACCATTGTTGCTAGCATGTGAAAGGTTAAATCCACCTAGAGGGCCATGTATGGCAAATTAAAACTGCAAATATAAATCATGTTAAAAAGCATAAACAAATTAAATTGCCTAGCAGAGTTTAGAAATTAATACTTCCAAGGTTTAATTACCTGATATACAGAGGCCAAATATTTGTTTTCCTCTTCATTAAACTTGCATTATTATTTATTATGGAATAATTATATATATATATAAATTTTGTGTGTGTGTGTAAAGGTAAAGGTTCCCCCGCACATGCATGCTAGTGGTTTCCGGCTCTAGGGACGGTGCTCATCTCCATTTCTAAGCCGAAGAGCCAGCGCTGTCCAAAGACGTCTCCGTGGTCATGTGGCCGGCATGACTTGACCCCGAAGGCGCACAGAGCACTGTTACATTCCCACCAAAGTGGTCCCTATTTTTCTACTTGAATTTTTCACGTGCTTTCGAACTGCTAGGTTAGCAGAAGCTGGCACAAGTAATGGGAGTTCACTCTGTTACGGTGCACTAGGGATTTGAACCACTGAACTGCTAACCTTCTGATCGACAAGCTCAGCGTCTTAGCCACTGAGCCACCATGTCCCACATTAGATAGATAGATAGATAGATAGATAGATAGATAGAGATAGAGATAGAGATAGAGATAAGATAGAGATAAATAGATATAAATAAATTTAAAGATATAAATAAATAACCATATATATGGTTTATTTATTTATATCTTTAAATGGCTTGGTTGAAGAAGAGTGGAAGACCAGTGGAACCTTTTAAAGAATTTGTTTATTCCATACTTTGGGAATTACGCAGGAGATTGTTCCCTGTGGCCGACAAGCAGACCACTGAAAGAAAATTTACACTCAGGTGTAGTCATCCCTAAAATAATAAAGCAATGTTGTTCTAATAGTCCAACTCATAATTCCACTGTAATGGTTCAGATTTATTATTTCCTGGAAGTACCCGATCACAAGACTTAGTACTTTTTCAACAATATTAGCTTGAAATTGTATATTTGAAGCTGGACTAAAAAATTTCCACATTAAGATGCTATGTTAGCTTTTAAAATCCCTTGGAGGCTGAGTGAATGGCTGCACAGTGCACTTTTCTTGCTTCAAATGTATTTCTGCTTGCTTTGACTATTGTTGGAATGGTGTGACATGTTTGGTATAGTCTTATGCTCAAACAAAGCATTAGGACGTACCCAATTGTACCTTAGCTTGTAGAGGCCAATCCATTAGAGCTTTAGTTGTGAGGTGGTCAAAGACCTCATGAGGATATATTTTTATTAGCACAGGAATGCCATAAATTGGAACTGCATAAATGATATTTTCTCTGACCTAAGGCTTATTATTAAGTTTTAAATTAAATCTTGTATTCCGGAGAGGACAAAATAGGTCATTTTTTTTTAAAAAAAGTAAATGATGTATTGTTATAGTGATGTCATGCCTGAAATTGTTTTCTAACAAATTAAAATTGGGAGCATGAATGTTACTATGCTAGCTTACAAAATCATTCCAATAGAAACTAAGTTGGCCCAAAGCTCACTGTTCAATCTTGCTTATTGAATTTTAATACTTTGGATGTAACTGACATGAGGATGTCATACTTGGCATTGCCTTAACCTATCAAGCAAAATAAAGCTATGACAGTGATAAAAAGAAAGCATCTTTATGTTATTGATAGCCTATATAAAAGGAGATGCTTAATGTATGTGTGGAGAACCTGAGAACAAAAGTCCTAAAAAGTCCTGTGAGAACAAAAGATACCATCACTAACAATTTTTTTACTAGCAGCTAACTGCAACTCACTTGAAAACAAGTAAATTTCTAATTGTACTCGAAGTCACAACAATGATCCAGCTGTCATATTCTGTGCTAACTGCAGCTTTCATTCAGCTTAATTCAAAATAAATTTAAAATAATCTAAATGGGAGTTGGCAGTGAATGGACTAGTGTGGATGTTATCCATGTTGTGGATTAATCAAATGTCAGGGTTCCAAGTAACACCCCCAACAAAAGAAGAGTCCGAGGCTTGAGTTTCCTCAAAGTTCCATTTTATTAGAGACTAGCTGTACCTGGCCACGCGTTGCTGTGGCCCAGTCTGGTGCTTCCGCTGGGCTAAAAGAGCGAGGCTGAAGTTCCAAACTCTCCACGAACATTTGGTGGGTGTGGCCAACTCGACGTCACTCACTTTCATCAGTCACATGACAGCCCCCGAGCCATGCCTACCCAGCTGGTGATTAGGGCAGAGAACCGGTTGCTAAAAAACAATGGGAACCACAAAATCCTCCCTCTCTGTCTCCCCCTCTCTCTTTGTATCTCTCTCCCCCGTCTGTATCTCTCTGTCTCTCTCTCTCCCCCCTTCTGTATCTCTCTATGTGTCTCTCTCTCCCCCTCTCTCTGTATCTCTATCTCTCTCTCTCCCACCCTCTCTCTCTGTATCTCTGTATGTGTCTCTCTCCCCCCCCGTCTCTCTGTATTTCTCTATGTCTCTCTCTCCCTCTCTCTCTGTTTATCTCTGTCTCTGGCCTGGCCTCTTCTGCATCCCCCGCCATCGCCCTTACCTTTTCAGGCCAGGCCTTCGCAGCTCTCCGCACCACAGCAGAAACTCGGGGCCCCCCTCCATCCTCCCTACACAGATGTTCTCTGGGGGGTCAACGGGGAGACACATAGCAGGGAAGGGAAGGGAGGGATGGAGGGGGTGCGGCGGGGGTTCGAGGCTGGTTTGGGGCTTCCCGCCCGAAGGAAGCGGCAAAGCCATCTCCCACTCACCGACCGGATTCACATAGCGCCGGTTAGCAGCTGGTCTTTCTGACCTTGGGGCCCGTGGTAGCGCTGGGCCAGGTGAAATTCAGGCCAGGCGAGGGACAGAGGGTTCCCACTCAGCGGACCCAGGTAGCCTCGTTGTCAGGTGTTCTTTGGAGGGAGTCCTGAGAGCGGCTGGCAAGGGGGATGGGCAGCAGCGGCGGGCAAGGCTAGTTCGCAGTATAGCCAGGGGAGAGGGAGGTCAGAGCCAGGCTTGGGCGGGCCCTGCCCAGCCCTAGAAGCGCTGGCTGCGTGGGCTTCCAGGCAGGCAGCTGGCTGCCTACCTGCCGAGCCTGGTGGCAGGATATGGCCCTCGGGCGTCTCTGCCTTCCAAATGTGCAGTTTCCTGGAAGCAATATGGAGAGTCTAAATGTAAGAAATCTGTTGAGCGTAATCAGGGCTGGGAGGCTGCCATGTTGGTTTTATGTCCAGCAGATAGTGCTGTTTTTCAATGTTTTTCAATGTTTGTCAATGTCTTTTCCAATGTTTTTACCTGTCACAGGTGTAACATGTATATAATATAGGTATATAAAAACACGCCCGTAGTTGAATGCAACGTTGTGTCAAAATTTGAAAGCAATCGGTGAAGAACTTTTGGAGATGTGCGGTTATGTACAAACGGACATTTACATTTTTATTTATATAGATGTCATATTGGCACATCTGGGAAAACCCAAATCTGAAAGCTTCCAGGTTTTCCCCATCCAAAGGAAAGTTCAAGTCCCTGCCCAGCACTCACATATCCATCAAATGGCCCAATCAAAACACCATCCCAACTGGAGATGCCTCCCAGGTCCAACCCTCCAGGTGTAGGGCAAGATGTCCTTGACTCCCTGAGAAAGAATGTTATTATGGCTACATATCACCCTGGCTCCATACAGTCCCCCCTCCCAGGTTCCCACAGTAGTAAATGTGGCAGGCCTGAAGCTCCAAGGCAAAATATGGCTTCCAGATCTGACATCCTAAGTGACAAGCCAGCTAAAGAACTCCAAAGCAAGAGAGGCTGATTGATTGAACCTCAACTGATGACTCTAGTGCTTCCAAACTCTCTACTTCTTTGGATAGACAATATTAAACAGCCCTGCTGTCAAAAAGTTAGATGGACATCCACATGTTGAGCCCAACTCTCCGCCTTCTAGAGGACTTTGCACGAAATCAATGAGTTCATAGGACAAGATTTGGGATCATGTTAATTATTTCCCCAGCTATAGGCCAAGACCAAGTAGGTATTGGACCAGATCACCAAAGTTTAGGGGGTGCCAGTGCTGTTTCTCCTTCTGAATTGTTCTAAAAATGCCAGGTCAGTGGGACAGTGCTCTGCAACTGTGTATGTGAAGGTATCTACATTAAGCAGACATAGTATATATTTAAAATTTGTCTCTAAACTAACATAATAGAATACTTTGGGGAAGACAAGGCTACTCACCACTGCCTCACATGGAAAGTTACAACAATTGAAGAAGGCAGTATATATTGAATTGAAAGGATTAGAGCATGTACAGAGTGTACCTAACTCAACTTTAGATATTGCTTGCTGCTGACCTAATGCCCTATCTGCATAGATAAAGCCTCCATTATGACCTAATGCTCTATCTGTATAGATACAGCCTCCAGGCTGCCAAGTAGCCTATAGCTAAGTTAACTTGTGAAATGCAAAATGTGAATTCTGCCTGTTGTAACTAATGTGAAATAGTGCCCCCTAACAAAGCTCTGGGCTATATGCCAGAAAATGTATTCTTTTCACTCTTCTGAGGTCCTTTGTTTTCAGAGTGCTGAGAAAATGAGGTTTGCATGAACTAATGGATATGAAATTATGTTTCTAACACTATGACGATCTGTGCAATCTGTGTGAACTACAAGAAGTTCAAAAAAAAGTTTTTGCACGCAGCTTCGGCTTCGGCTTTTTCTTTTTCTCTCTGCCTGCTCTGTTTAAGGTGGGAGATAAAAGGTCGCCCAGTTTTGCCTTCTGATCAGAAATAAAACTGATTATCAGTTGCCTCGTGTTCAGAGTTTCATTGGATTTATCAGATTCTGAGCTGCACTCGAAAACCTTACAGAATAATACACGGTATTGTCCTTTTGATGCAGTGGTGAAATTCAATTTTTTTTACTATCGGTTCTGTGTGGGTGTGGCTTGGTGGGCGTGGTGTGGCTTGGTGGGCATGGCAGGGGAAAGATGGGGTGGACTGCAACATCTCCATTTCCACCCCACTCCAAGGGTAGGATACTGCAAAATCTCCATTCCCACCCCACTCTGGGGCCAGCCAAAGGTGGTATTTGCCAGTTCTCTGAACTACTCAAAATTTCCACTACCACTAAAATCTCCAGAACCTGTCAGAACCTGCTGGATTTCACCCAAGTTTTGTTATAAAACCTCTAGACAAAGATATTCCTTCAATTCTCTGGTTTTAAGTGCTCTACTAGAAATAAGAAATGCCTGTTAGTTTACTATTTTTATTTCTTGTGTTTCTACTCCTCATAAAAGATAAAAGACTCAAAAATGAAATGTTAGCCTTTATTGACAGGTGGTATGTTCCAAATTGTTTCAGGCTATCTGGTCCTTGGAAATTCTTTTGCAGCGTGTTTCAGTGAAAGAAAGAGGCTTGATTTTTTTCCCTTTGGCAGAAACTGAAGCACCGTGAAGGCCGCGATGAGGAGAGAAATCTTAGTGCTTCCTCCTTCTCCTCCCTCTTCTGCGCCCGGATGATTTACGTCCTGGAAAAGTCAAAACCAACATTAGTGATGTGATGTAACACATCGAGCTGTAATGTAGTTGTAAGGTTTAATGCCTTGACCATATACCTCTCCTTCTGCCACGTCGTCTTCCACGCCTCCTTCCAGATTTGCCCCCACGCCCCTTCCTGCGTCGACGCCTGCGATGGATGCGGGTTAGGCTCCAACTCCTGCTGCGTCTGAAGCTGACCATTTCTGATGGTCCTGTTGTTTTTACAAGCTCTTAGCAGCTGGAGCACCACCTGTCTTAGATGAGCCTTTCAGATTTTGTGAGTTGCAGTGGCCTCTCCCATCATTTAATAGCTCAGCTTCAGTGTGTAACAAGGGCCAATGATGTCATGCTTCCATTATGATGGAACTCAGTTAACTGTTGCATATGTGAGCAAAATAGTCTGCTCCTGTTTTACAGAGATAAGCCTGGAGATATAAATCATGGGGTTTGTACTTGTATATTTGAACATTTACATCATAGTTTGCATTAAAATGTCTATTTCTCAAGGAACATACAGTAGTGGCCAAAATTGTGGAAACCTTTTGGGAAAAGTGTATTTTTGAGGTTTGATGGCTAATAACACCACTTTTTTTTGGAGTTTCAAGATAATCATATTCCACTGCTGGAATGGCCTGGGAATAGACAATTAACCCAATTGAAAATCTATGGAGCTGACAAAAGAAACTTGTTAGTCAGAAGCGACCCAGCAATAAAACCCAGTTAATAAAAGCAATCATTCAATCTTGGTTTCACATTCTAACAGCTGCAGAACTAAAAGACTTGGTTCACTCCACCGGAAGATGTTGTAAGGCCGTAATTCATGCTAAAGGTTACCCAACTAAGTATTAACTGACATGGTGATAATTTTTGTATATCTCGTTTTTTCTATGTGTTTCACTTTTCTTCTTTATACTGTAACTGCTATTCTAATAGCAAATCCTTCATAAAAGTTATTGCATTAGATTAAGGTGACCAGATTTTAACATTGGTAAAGAGGGACACCATTTTGGGCGTGGCTTATTTTGTGGGCGTGGCTTGGAGGTCATGTGACTGGTGGGCATGGCTTGGAGGTCATGTGACCGGGTGGCCATGGCTATGTGTATAGGGACTACTCAGAGGGCTGAAAAAAGTAATTTCTGACAGGTCCTCGCACTTTTGACTGGTCCTCACACTTATGACCATCCTCACATTTATGCCCGTGCAGCATTCTTAACAACCATGTCACTCATTTCACAACTGCTTCTCTTCACCATGGTGATAAGATAGGGCAAAAAACGTAAAATGTGAAGACAGTCGTAAGTTTGAAGACTGGTCAAAAATGCGAGGACCAGTCAAAAATAACTTTTTCAGCCCTCTGAGTAGCCCATATGCATTAAAGGATACAGCAATAGAGAGGGATAAAGGAAGGGAAATTAGAGTAGGAGTGAGGGTAAGAGAGGGAGGAAGAGAGGAGGAGAAGGAGAAAGGAAGAGGAAGTAGGGAGGAGAAAAAGAGGGTGGGGGGGAAGAGAAAGTAAGAAGGAAAGAAAAGAGAGAGGTGGTAGGTTTGAGGAGAAAGATTGCTGTACAATAAAAAAGATGAAAGGGAAGAAAGCCAACCCCAAGCAAATATAAAGATATTAAGATAAAGAATGAATTGTTAAACTTTAAAGAATAAAAGAGAACAAATATAAATAAATAGCAATAATTAGAAACACACATACAAACATACAATGTATTTTCTTTGAACAGAATATTTGGCTGGTTCACAAATTTAAACAGTGTTTAGTCATTTACAATTTCTATATTTCCTTTTTGCCATATTTATTCCTCATCTATTTTTGTAAAAAACCAATATTACCCTTCATCCTCATCTCTAATCTTAATCAAATTCAATTTTTCCCTTCTATTCTATATTATACCCCTTCCCATTGTCATCTATTTTTATATCCATCCTCACATTGGTTAATTATGTAATTATGTAATACAGTTGTTTAATACAAATTCAACATTTTAATATAAATCAATTAGTTATATAACTATCTTTTTTGTATATTAATCAATATGAACATGAATATTCCAATTATTTCTATGCAATCCAATTTCTTACAAATCAATTAATTATATTTACCAATAATAATAAACCAAATAATTTCCCCCATATATTCCTCCAACCACAACTTAACCATTTCTGCTTTCAACACAATATACAATTATTAATAGTATCTCAATTATTACAATTCCCTAGTTAAATAGAGCTTTTTTTCTTTTGTGTTTTAAAATCTTGAACTCTCCTCTTTTGCCCTAAATTTCCCATTGTTTGCAGTTTTGCACTTACCTTTTTTGGTGAAGAAAAAGAAAAAGAAATCTCTCTCTGCCTCATTTTGTCACGTTGCAGCTTTACTTTCGCTTTCGCTTTTTCAGTATAGCTAGGGGGAAAAAAATCTGCTCCAGGAACTCTTTGCAGCCAATTAACCTATGCGGAAGCTGTAGGGGGCTGTTTTTTCTATTTTTGCAGGCATGGATCTACTCATTTGTTTGCTTTTAACACTGATCAGCTTAGGTCGGCCCTTTGAAGCCCCGCGGCAAGAGTTTAAACAGTTTTTTTTCCTCTAGCCATCAGCTGGGACTCAGGAGGCAGAATGAAAAATCGGGACTTTTTTAAAACGCCGCAGGATGCGGGACAAATTGCTAAAAATCGGGACTGTCCCGCCAAAAGCGGGATGTCTGGTCACCTTACATTAGATTAAATTATCTTTCCATTGATATATAATTTTATGGTACTACTCCAAAAAAAAGTGGTGTTATTAGCTAGTTTTAGAAAATACACTTTCCCCAAAAGGTTTCTACAATTTTGGCTAGTACTATAAAATTATTCCATTACTTACACATGTGGCTGTTCAACTAAATTAATGAAAATGTAAAAAGATAGAGAAGAGTTAAATATGAATATGGATCTTTTACTATGAATACGATATAGTTTTTAATTCCTATTGAAAATAATAAGACGGCTCGCTATTTATTTAATATGTAGAAGCCACGACACTGACAAGTTTATCTTTAGACTGGTAATGGGACAATGTCCACTACTGCATTTCAAAAGAACAGGGTGGTATATTAGCACAGGGCAGGTAACATGGCATCTCCTCCCATAATATATAATAGCTGATATCTGAGGTAATAGCCTCATCTTGGCTAGTGATCAGGACAGCCAAGCTTTTTTTCCCCATAATGCATATTTGTATAGCTAGAATACACAATAATGAGTTGGAAGGACCTTGGAGATCTTCTACTCCAAGTCCCTGCTCAAGCAGGAAACCCTACGTCATTCCAGACAAATGGTTGCCCAGTCTCTTCTTAAAAACTTCCAAGGATGGAGCACCCGGAACTGGAGGCTAGCCATTCCAGTGTTTCATTGTTCTCACTGTCAGAAAATTTCTCCTTAATTTTAGATTGGAACTCTCTTTACAGAGTTGGAAGGAAACTTGGAGGTCATTAGTGTAGGGGTCTCCAACCTTGGCAACTTTAAGACTTGTGGACTTCAACTCTCAGCAAAGCTGGCTGAGGAACTCTGAGAGTTCAACTCTGAGAGTTGAAGTCCACAAGTCTTAAAGTTGCCAAGGTTGGAGATCCCTGATCTAGTCTAACCCCCTGCTCTGGCAGGAAAACTTATACAAATGTTGTCCAATCACTTTTTAAAAACTTCCAGTGTTGGAACATTCACAACTTCTGGAAGCAAGTTGTTCCACTGATTAATTGTGTTAACTCAGGAAACTCCTCCTTAGTTCTAGCTTCTCTCCTTGATTCATTTCCAACCATTGCTTCTTGTCCTACCTTCATCTGCTTTGGAGAATAGATTGACTCCCTCTTCTTTGTGGCAACCCTTTTGATATTGGAACACTGACATCATGTCACCCCTAGTCCTTCTTTTCATTAAACTAAGTAAAGGTAAAGGTTCCCCTCGCACATATGTGCTAGTCGTCCCTGAGTCTAGGGGGCAGTGCTTATCTCAGTTTCAAAGCCGAAGAACCAGCGCTGTCCGAAGATGTCTCTGTGGTCATGTGGCTGGCATGACTAAATGTCAAAGGCGCATGGAACGCTCTTACCTTTGATGGTCCTTATTTTTCTACTTGCATTTTTTACTTGCTTTCGAACTGCTAGGTTGGCAGAAGCTGGGACAAGTAACAGGAGCTCACCCCGTTACCCAGCACTAGGGATTCTAACCGCTGAACTGCCGACCTTTTGATTGACAAGCTCAGTGTCTTAGCCACTGAGTCACCGCGTCGCATAGTTCATTAATTTAGACATACCCAATTCCAGCAACCATTATAAGCTTCCATCTGTTACTTTTTGTCCTGCCCTCAGGCACTTCAGATAATAGGGCGACCCCCATCTGTGACAGCCCCTCAAATATTAGAAGATTGCTATCATATCACTCCTAGTCCTTTGCTTTGTTAGACTAGAACATATTCAGTTCCTATGGAGTTCATATGTTTTAGCATTCAGTCCCATAATCATCCTTGTTCTCTGCACTCTACAAAGTGTCTCAATATATATATATATATATATTGGTATCTTGATGACCAAAACTGAGCAAGTGTGAAATGTGGAGAAGGAGATGTGGATAACAATGAAATTGGGAGAATTTTTGGAGAATGCTTTTGTCCCAAAATATTCTTTTGGAAGGACATATATTGTGAAAAAGGCACAACTGTTAGCATCTTCACACTGGTGGGGAAAATATTTTGAATTTGGTTTGCCAAGAATGATGTTCATTTCCCATTCTGTCTTTTCTATCTGCAAAGTGTATCAAAGCTAAATTCTCTGCAACTCTTTAATATTACAAGTGAATGAAAGTGTTCAAACCCCTAGACTGAACAACGCAATATGTTAGTTACATTTTTATACTTTTTCTTGTTTTACAGCAATTTGTTGGGAATGAGAAATGATGTTTCTCATGACATTATGGCATTTGTTTCTTTACTTGATCATTTTGTTTTTAATGTTATTTAAGAGAAGAGAGAAGCATGATAACAGGCATTTAGAGTGACACCAAACAGAAATGCTTTTTTTATGACTTTATTGACAGACAAGCAGGGCTTGCATTGCTCCTAGGGTAGGAGAAATCCTGAATTTTGCAGTCTTCCACAGCTCACTGATGCCTTATTTGATGGATTTTCTACATCACAGAATCCTGGTGATGATTCATTGGCCACATAGATGGTATTTGAAAGCAGTGGAAAGATAATCACTGAAAATTATCTCCTTCCTTTCCAGTAAAAGTATGTCGCACAGA